CCCCTCTCCTGCCTCACTGACCGGGGGTCTGTATGCTTGTTTGTCCCCCGTCTCTCCTCCACTCCAAGGCTAGCCCAACAAGTTTTTCTCTTCTTAAATATGCTATTGCTGATTGGTGTTGATTGGCCTGGCCTTGGCGAGAGGTGGGTCCAATTTGGAGCTGGCGGAGCTTCTAGAAGCTTCTTATAGGAGCCAGCTCTGTAGCCCACTCCCCTATTACCAAAATCCCACCAGACACACACTGGACACAGGCTGGAGTTTCTAACTTTGAAAATGATGCAAGTGTTCTTAACGTAGTAGACATGCACTGTTTTCTCCCTGTATTTTTAGGTAAATCAGTGATGCTGTATGCTGCAGAAACCATCCCCAAACTGAAAACAAGAACACAAAAGATGGGAGGTAGTGATCAAAGTCTTCAACAAGGAGAGGGAGGCAAGAAAGGTAAAGGGAAGAAAAAGAAGTGAGCTCACATCTGGAGTAATTGTTACATTGTATAGTTGTACTTAGGACAAATGTGGATGGACGTGTTACTTGGTGCCATTTTGAAGTGAAAGATACAAGCAAAAAATAAACAGGTGAAGCTGAATAGAACTGGCTGCTTTTCTTGGGACTGGAATGCATGTAGCTGCCTTGCATCTGTGTAACAATAAATCTGCCTTCACACACAACCTGCAAGTCTGAAGCTAGCATCCACTTTTAAAAGTAGAAGACCTAAGCAAATGGGGCAGGTGGGAGACTTACTCTTTCCACGAGAAATATGCAGCTTCTGATAAATAAATATTCTTATGCAGGCTAGATATCAGAAAACTGGTTGCCTTAGTAAACATTTATCTATGCTAGTGAAGTGATTGTCTTAATTCTGGAGGGTCTTTGTCACTAACACAAAAATGTAAATCAAAATTATGGCTCTGTACGCTTCCCTTGCTAATAATCGTTCACAATTGTCAAATATACTAATAAAGGTGATGTTAATTTTAAAAAATGTAATCTTACAGAATAGTTTTTCCAGCAGTATTAATTTTTCCTCCATAACTTGTTGTAAAGAAGGCAGTGATGTATATTGTAATAGTAACATCATACAGTTTTAAGAAAGTTTGAAACAAATAGCTCCCTTTTGTGTCTTCTGTAACATGGGTTACTCTATCCTGTTTGGGGTTCTTGTTTGAGAGCTTATGAAACGTACCTTTGTATTATACCTGTCAAATACTATTTCAGATGTCTGAGGCTTGTGAGCCATTGCCATTAGCTGTGGCAGAGCTGGTCACATTCTGCTTCTCCTCAAGAGGGGTACTGCATGCTCGGGCAAATTGGGATGGCCACCACGGTGCTGCACGCAGGCCCTGCCCCAGTTGGAGCGGCAGCTGGTCCCGGGGTCCCTCAGGCCTGGGGTGCTGGGTGCCTTCGCTGAGGGCTGCAGGAGTTGTGTGTGCGCTGTGAGCTCGGGGTGCGGCTAAGGAGTTAACACCCCCACTCCTTATCCTCAGCTCTGCCCAACCTACCACAGAGCAGAAACATGGCTGCGCAGAGCAATGCTCAACGTTACAGTGCTTATCTGACCCGCTGTCTCCACAAGTTCTGCCTGGGCTGCATTGTGCGATGGGCAGAGAGGAACATGTTGTGCCCCCTTTGCAGGCCATCAACGCCATCATTTACTCTGTGTGGTCAGAGGAAGATTTTTTTTCAGCTCTGCCCAACCTACCACAGAGCAGAAACATGGCTGCGCAGAGCAATGCTCAACGTTACAGTGCTTATCTGACCCGCTGTCTCCACAAGTTCTGCCTGGGCTGCATTGTGCGATGGGCAGAGAGGAACATGTTGTGCCCCCTTTGCAGGCCATCAACGCCATCATTTACTCTGTGTGGTCAGAGGAAGATTTTTTTTGGAGGTCTTTCTTATGAACGAGGAGCTCTCGGTGCTGTACTGGGGCCGCTGGTGGGAGGTGGCTGCAGCACAGGGCACCATCCTCCTAAATCTGTGCTGCCACAGGCAGGACGAGGAGGCCCTGGTCTGGGAGCTGCAGCCATTCCTGCAAGACTAGACAGTGACTTTTGTGTCACTCATCACTGTCGCCGCAGACCAGTACAGCCAGCAGATCTTGTGACAGCTGGACTTCCCAGGCTCCCATGCTGCTAAGGAGCAAAACAAGCCCTCAGCCACCCCTGGCCCTGCCGCCTCTCCAGGGGGAACTCCTGCCCCCAACCCCAGAGCACAAGAGGATCCCCACAAGGACCTGGGGCAGGCGGTGGCAGGTCCCTCTGCTGCTGGCCAGGACAGGGACTGCTCTCCTAGGGAACCGCAGCGCCCTGTGAAAAGGAGGGCCAGCGGCTCCCAGGGCTCTTCATCACACAAGAGGCCATGCTGCTGACAACACTAGGGTGCCTCAGAAGCCGGTGAAAGCAGGGCCTGGCCAGCAGCTGGGGTATGCGCAGGCCCCCAAGGGGACTTGGAGGTGCTTGTTAATGAGTGAATTAAGAAAGAAAATAAAACTATAAACCTCAGGAGAAGTCTTAGTCTCTCACTACAAGTAGTGCAGCTGGCATAGCCATTGCTGCCACTCGTGATGCTTTCTCCTCCTCCTGGTGCTGTACACACCTCCCCCCTCAAGTGTCTGCTGCAGCTTCCACACTGTTTATCATAGCTTGCCCTTAGGCCCGTGTCTTGGTTTGAAAAGACAGGTGTCTG